GCATGGTATAGTAATGGTCAAACCGCAGGATACAAAACCACATACGCTCGTGATAATTATTCTTTAGTATTTGCTACTGTAAAGGTACACCATGTTTTTTTTAAGTTTACATGCATAGGGAAGATATTTGTTGTGTTAAAATAAACTGAAATTTTGTCATTTACCATTAATTGTGTAGGGAGCGGGTCATACAGCTCCGGAGTTCAAACCAGAAGAATGTTTTCAGATGGTTAAGAGGTGGTTTGCTAATAAACCTATCTAAACCAACAATTTAGTGTTCTCTAAATGAGATATTCAAGATTCATTCTAGGGTTTGTTTGGGCTTTAGATTAGCTTTTTTTATTGCACGATTCGTTGGTCATCCAATAGTGAAGGTGATCTTGTAGTATTTATTTTGTTTCGGTGTTATAATTTGTTACAGATGCATTAATAATATTTGATTGATTTCAATAAATTGAGAAATAAGAAATTGTTATATTGAATTTATGGTAAAGGATAAATCTAGATCATGAAATAGTACCTCTCCAAAACCTAAATGTACATCATATGTATAGATATATAACTACACACACACACACACACACACACACACACATACATACCCGATTGTTTTTTAAGCACTTAAATAGTGTTAACTATGCATAGTCATATTAGCCAATCAAATGTCTTAATTGTTTTTGGTTTAATAACTCGCCTAAGTTAAGTAATAGGGGTATTTTTTTTTTAATTTTAGTCGGTTAGATATTCATAACCCAGGGGATGGGTTACAACAATCCTCAAAAATAGCTTATTTGGTCGAGATCTTTCATTGCAAATTCCATACTTAGATGGGATGTAATAGTGTAGCGAAGAGCATCTGAAGATGTTGTCAGGATAATGTCATCCACATAGAGAAGAAGATAGRCCATTTTCAATCTCCATTTAAAGATGAACTAGGAATGGTTGGATGTGCTATGAATGAACCCAAAGGTAGCTAGAAACTCGGCAAACCTTTGGTACCAAGCCTGGGGGGCCTGTTTAAGACCGTATAAAGATTTATTCAATAGACAAACGTGGGAAGGATAATCGGGATTGCGGAACCCCAATGGTTGATGAATTTATACAGTCTCCTTAAGTTCTCCATGCAAGAATGCATTTTCTACATCAAATTGGTGAATGGAACAATCTTTCAAAAGATCTAACAAAAGTATTGTCTGTATTGTAGTTGGTTTTACGACTGGACTAAAYGTGTCRCCACAATCCATGCCTACCTGTTRTGTCTTGCCATCACCTACAAGACGGGCTTTATGCCTCTCAAATAAACCATCAGGTTTYTCCTTATGAGAAAAAAATCCACATAGACCGAATAACATTAACATTACATGGTTTAGGGACTAATTACCA